AGAATATCAACTGAGATTTACTATACTTAGCACTGTATCAATTAAGGTTTTCACCCTGCAAATTGCGACTCCATTGCCACTTTATTTTTAACCGACTTCAAAAAATGGAGAAGGTGCTCAATTCGATTGTATTTTATTGTATGTATGATCACGTTATAACTCCGGCCGGCATTTGTGAACCGATTTTGATGATTCTTTTTTATAAATATGGAGAAACTATTCCACCACTAAGGGTGGCAAACTAGGGGATGAATCCGGTTTCGCGCACTTCCCGATAACCGATTTCTTTCCAAATTCCAAAACTATAAAACTTGACAAATAGATGTAATTTCACGAACTTTCGAGGTCGGTTTTTTATTACTCTGTACTGAGATTGTATTGTGTTTTTGTGTGTATTTTTACTACACGATTACTGCGACCTTTGTGAACCGATTTCGATGATTATTTTTTGTTGAAAAGGTTGGGACCTCTGTTGCTCTCCAGTGAAGAAAGAAAAAGAAAGAAGATATTCCACTTTTAAAGATGGCAAATTAATAACGCTTACAATCAACATAGCCCCGCACTAGGGAAACCCTGGGTCGCGGGTGCTATGGACACACACATAGACAACCACAAATTACACCCAAACTCACGAGAGAAATAAATGTAGGCTATACAAATATTTCTCCCGGCCCGGGAATCGAACCTGGGACCTCTGCGTGGCCGTCCGGCATGGTAACCGTTCGGCCACGGAGGCAATTACTCATTATAATTATATTATTCTTGGCAAAGATATTTATGGAAACAGCGAGTGCATATATTGAAATTTTGAGGTCGTTTTTTTGGGTATGGCAACAATGTAGAGTGGAGGTTAGTATAATCTGTGATTAATAAATTCATGTCCTTTACGTCTGAAACTTCATTAAACGCCCTTTTGTTCCTCACACGCGTATTTTGAAAATGAAAAAACTTTAATAAATATTTTTTTACACTACAAATACACATGATTCCTTTCCATGTGATTTTTGTGTTAAGTTAATTTAATAAAACTCGGAAGTAAATTAATTTGCTAAGTAACACCTGAATTTATTCATTACTTAAGTTAATTTATAAAATACGCATTTTCAAGTATTTTTTGTGGTAGTGGGCTTTGAAATTTTTTTATCTTGCCCAATTGGGCGGAGGCCTAGCCTATAAGTCACAGTTATTTGCCTGACCACCTCATGCAAACATTAGTAATACCGATTGTAAAAGATAAGACCGGTGATTCATCAGATCCGTCTAATTATAGGCCAATTTCTCTGGCTACCGTAATTGCTAAAGTTCTGGACAGTCTGCTTGACGACTACCTGGGTAAGCATCTGAGTCTTAATGATGCGCAATTTGGTTTCAGACCAGGGCTGTCGACTGAGAGTGCGATAATGTGTCTCAAGCAGACTGTACAGTATTACACTGCGAAAGACACCGGTTTACGCATGCTACCTGGACCTCCCAAAGGCCTTTGACCTAGTGTCATATAATGACTTATGGGGCAAATTATATAATGAGACCAGTTTGCCACGTGAAATAACCTCCTTGTTTAGGTATTGGTACAATAATCAAAGCAACTGTATCAGATGGGGAAGTGCTACTTCGGATAGTTATAGATTGGAATGTGGGGTGATGCAGGGGGGGCTCACCTGGCCCAAATTTTTCAACCTATATATTAATAGACTCATTGATGAGCTGAGCAGCACTAATGTCGGATGTTATATTGACGGAGTCTGTGTTAATAACATCAGTTACGCGGACGACATGGAGCTGCTCAGCCCTTCGATTAGAGGGTTTATGTCTATGTTGCAAGTTTGTGAGTCATACGCTGTGACCCACGGAGTCAAGTACAATGTTACGAAGAGCCAGCTGATGATCTTTAAGGCAAGTACTAAGTGTTACTCTATTGTACCTAATGTAACACTTAATGGCGGTCGTTTGAATATGGTTACGAGGTTTAAGTACTTGGGTCTTTGGGTCACGGATGACCTTTCTGACAACTTCGACATCGAGAGGGAGCGCAGGTCGTTGGCTGTTCGAGTCAATATGTTGGCCCGCAGATTTGCACGATTTACAAAACAAGTAAAGATAACGCTTTTTAAAGCCTACGGCCAATCTTTTTTACACGTGCAGTCTGTGGGTCGACTAAACGCGGAGGACATACAACAGCCTGTGCGTGCAATACAACAACGCGTTCCGGGTATTGCAGGGGCTGTCGCGCTTCTGCAGCGCCTCAGGTATGTTCGCGGAGGCGCACACGGACGGGTTTGCAGCCAGCATACGCAAGAGGTGCACCGCCTTCGCGCCAGCCCCGACCGCATCCTGAGCGCGTTGCCCGCACACCGGGACTCGTATAGAAAATAATGTTGTTTTGTTTTTGTGTCGCTGTCCTTATGTATTGTACAATTAACTAACCCTTAGACCTAAGCATTTTGTCATTTACTAACAATATATGGACCAGTTCCAAAATAAATGATTATTATTGTTATATTATTATTATAAGAATGGAAGCCTACTTTTTACTGTACTTAGTTGTAATACTTAGAAGTATTTCATGTCATTAGTTCTTCTCGTAATGTTTTCTCGTTGAAGAACATTTAGTAATCTAATAGCAACAGAGCTCCTTGTGAGAATTCGTCCAAGGAAATATTTATTAAATTATTTATTTATATTCATGTCACAAAGACCCATAAATAGATACCTTATAGAATAACATACATAATAACATATTAAAACACTAATTACTAATTATTTACACGTAGTGTCTGCGACGTGTGACGCAACGTGGGTATCCGGTAGCCGTCCTCGGAAACGTCGGTACATTACCTATTTCTGCCGCCAAGCAATAATGTGAGCATGACTACGTTCCGGTTTTGAAGGATAAGGGTGCTGGTTAACTTACAGGCACATGGGACTTGTCAACGTTATATCTCAGGGTGGAGGGTGGAGGGTGCAGTGGCACTGCAGCTGCTATGGGCTATAACTTAACAAATAAATTCAATTGTACTCTGTCCGAAATAGTCGCTTGGTTAAATGATCATAATTCAGAGGTAAATTAAAAAAAAACTGAATAAATGGAATTTAGACCTCATCAAAGAAGTCCTTTAAATTATAAATTTAGAAATAACCTATTAGAACAAGTTGACACATACCCGCTTCTAGGGGCATCTATTGATTCAAATATTAATTGGAAAGAACACATCAATAAAGTTGCCATAAGGATGTCAATATTTTCCTATGCATTACGTGAACTAAACAAGTTAACAGACTTGAAATCAGATATGAGCGCCTATTTTGCCTATGCACACGCTTGGCTAGCATGTGGCATAGTGTTGTGGGGTTCCAGTACGGACGTAACGAGACTTTTCCGAGCACAAAAGAGGTGCATAAAATAATGCTTGCTAATATAAATGTAACAGATAGCTGTAAACCGTACTTCTCTGAGTATGAAATATTAACTCTTCCTTCCCTGTACATCTATGCGGCTTGTGATTTTGTTAGAAAGCACCCCCATCTCTTTCCACATCGCTCCACGCCACAAAACTTAATACCACAGACGCGACTTGCCAAGCCCACAAGTAAAATTTAAATGTTTCAAAGTGGCCCTTAGCAATGTTAGTGAAAATTTAAGACAAGGTCCCAATAACATTAAAGTTGAAGTGAATTACATTTAAAAAAAAATTTTAAAAATAAACCTTATTCGAAATTGTTTTTATCCACTTTAGAAATATTTAAATAATTAATTAGAACTTTAATCGTGTCCGATTGTTTTTGTTTATTTTTGGAGTTTTATTAAATTAATTTTTCATAATAATATTTGTAGTTAAATTTAATTTTAATTTTATAATTTATTTAATATGATTCAGTTGCTAAATTTTATTGTATTTAATTATTTTGTAATTCAATTTAATTTATTTTCTGCATGTAAATAAATTTAATTTAATTTTTAACATTGCAGTGCCCCTGCAGGGTTAATATTTGATTCATAACAACATTTTAATAACTACAAATGTACAACATGATACGCAATAAACAATTTTAATTTGTACTTGAATTTGTAAACATGTCGGTTACCACCAGGCGCATGAGTTGTTCATCCCGTCATTTGGTACTAAAAAATTGGTATTATGAGCCTGATTGGAACTATGTCCTATAGAATGAAATGTTAAGTTCAATGTAATTATGAGTTGACATAATTTGCACCAATTATAATTATGCCACGGGAGATGGAGGAATAGGGATGTACTTTTGTTATTACACCGTATCAGTCTGTTCTTTGGTAGGAACGGGAGAAGAGAGAAAAGGGAAAGAACGGGAGTTACGAAAGTCTCTGTCAAATGTGTTACGACAGACACCAATTAAAAAAGTTTTATAGTTACTGAACACCTGTCAGCCATCTCCGTCAATTATTTGTCCAAGTGTCGAGTAACATATCGAAGTAGATATATGGCGGAAAATAATCATGGATGTCGATCGCAAACAGTTTTATAACAGTCTTCAAAAAAGGAGGAGGTTCTCAATCCAATGGTATTTTTTTAATGTTACGCGATTACTCCAAGATTTGTGAACCGTTTTCGATGATTCTTTTTTTGTTGGTAAGGGGGTGTATAAGTAGTTGTTCTATTCAAATTTGAAGAAAAGATTCCACTTCTAAGGGTGGCAAATTAGGGGATGAGTTCATCATTTTTTTATTTTATGAGGACAGATCCGGTTTATTGGGTTTTATCCACTTTCCGTTAACCGTTTTTAATAAAACTTGGCAAATATATGTAATTCCACAAAATTTGGAGGTCGGTATTTTTTTATAAAAAAGTTATAATTAGGACATTTCATTGTTATACTAATTAACTAGCCGGCGAACTGTGTATGGATTGATAAAGGAAGTATATAGCACAGAATGTAAACGTCATAAAAATCTTGGCATCGGTGTTACCAGTCCATTCAAATCGTGATTGCTTATCGGAAGACGCAGCGTGAGCGCTCCACTCCACTCACGAGGTGGACCGACGACCTGGCACAGATTGCAGGCACCCGCTGCTATTGTCCGTGGCCACCGTGTCCTCCACCTTGTCCAGTACCGCCGTGTCCTCCACCAGTGCCACCACCGCCACCACCGCCTCCTCCGCCTCCTCCGCCTCCTCCACCGCCTCCTCCGCCTTTCCGCCTCCTCCATGCCCACCGTGCCCATGTCCACCATGCCTATGTCCGTTTCCACCGTGCCCAAATCCGTTTCGACCGTGCCCACCATTTTGTTTTCCTTGCGGTCGTAATATTAATAATAATAACAATAATAATAACAACAACAACAACTGTAATTGGAATTGTAACATTAATAATAATAATGGATGATAATAAATAATAACATAGATATTTTTAGTTGTAGAGACGAAAATCTAAAATAGATAGTGCAAATAACATAGTCCTAAGATGTCGTGTTAAAAAAACAATTATCCTTTGGTATATGTTCTATTAGCAGCTTGCAAGGTCCTAACGTAAAATTTATGAGGAATTAGAAAACTTCTCCTAGGAATCTTCTTCTTCTTCTCCTAGGAAACTTATTTGTAAGCGTACTATTATGATAATTCACGAACCAAATCCAAAAATGTTCTAGGATCTCTCAGAGAAATTATCTAAAGTTTAAAAGTTTAAAGAAATTAATTATCTTTATTACACTGGTGTTGCAGGGTTTCAAACTATCATCAAACATGTTTTCTTATTCATTCCGGAAACATATAGTGCGCCACACGTATTAATATTATAAATCCTAATTCTGCAGCTTTCTTGGATTTTGAAAATTATTTGTTTTATATCTTTACCTGTGTGCGTTTATGCCTTTTATGTCATTTTAGTTCGAGTTTTATTATCTATGGAAGCACAGTTGGCCATCATTTATAAAAAAACAAAAACACGCCATTTGCAAAATCTGTAATTGTTGTGTTGTGAAGCGATATTTATTCCAAAAAGAAATAAATTATCATTATATTTATTTCCTCGCAAATGCGATGAAAAACTTTAAGATTTTCTACTTATTTATTGTTTTGTTCACAAGTAAATAGTTTACAAAACAGAAACACAAAAAACAACGAATAAAAACCATTGAAAGATTTATGTATCGTTGCCATCACATGCTGTCAGGCGTCTAACAAAAGTATAAATATATATTCGTACATATAATGCTTAGGCATAAATTACGCTGCTTACACTTAAAACTATTAAATTTCATAATTTGACAAATGCATTGATTTTAAGAATTGTTTTACAATTTTCTGGTTTACATTTGTATGTACCACAGACGGTAAAAAAATCCTAAATGACTCGAGAGTCATTGAAGCCCTCAGCCTTCGGCTTTGGCTCTCGTTGGTCATTTCTTATTTACAGCCCTTAATATACAACGTACTACTTACTATGTCAGTTGTCTAATGTACAAACTAGGTACAAGGCAAAAAACAGGTGGCGTCTTGCAGAAAATTCGCGCCCAGTCTCGTACATTCGCGCAACTGTGGTTCTATGTATCTAGTTTATATACCATTGTCATAAAATTTACTTTGCTGTGCTAATTTGAGCACAAGTGTAGAGACTGTTTGTTGGCATCCCAAAAACAGTGAAGACGTTTATTGTTTGTTTAAATTTTGCTTTTGACTTCCCCTTTGTATAATAGAGTTAATTTCTAATAAAATTGACTGTCGACTTGTCAAGTGCTGTAATGGCATTAATTCTCGTCTTAAAGATCCTTGTGCTAAACTGGGTGAAGTGTGAAGACATACAATGACATTTTCAAAGCTCTACGCTTTGACAGAGCTCGTCCAGGAAAGTATTTCTGCCGCCAAGCAGTAATGTGTTTTGAAGAGTAAGGTTGCTGGTGAAATTACAGGAACAAGAGACTTGTCAACTTATGCATCAGGGTGACGAGCGCAGTATGCGAGCAACGCAAAAAGTCTATGAGTCTTTAGCTGTGAAAGTTTTTCAGCTTTCATTGCAAGTACTAAAGTTTGAAAACCTATATACCTTTTTACAATGCACCTTGCGAACAGAAGCAGCAAGTCATAACGTCATATGCGGGTTTGAGTCGTATGGTCAAATCACGAAGATCGGTTTCTGATTTTATTGTGTTAAAAATGGAACGTGTTTAATAGACAGATGTAGAGGTTTTGACGTCGTTCGGCTTCTCTACTGTATTGATACAGAGAAATACAAATTGAAATGAAATGAAGGAAAAAAAAGCCAATTGCCAATTTCAACCAAACAGAACTGGAATTATATTACACTTCTCTGTTGAATGCGTAAGAAGGCTCTCAGAACCAAAAGGTCGGGTCAGGTATCTAAGGGCATCGACTGGAGAGAAATTGATATGTAACGTAATGAGTATAGTTTCGCTCTGTCCGGCCAAACGTTACGTATGCAAACATAATGAAGGTTTATTAGCAAATGCACTTCAATAAACTAAACCAGGTGTAACATGTTATTTTTTTAATAATGGCAGGGAGTGCACACACATGGATTCTATATGTGAGTCATTAATTGAAACGCGGTGATAGATATATGAGGCAATTTTAAGTGACTTTAAAAAAGGATGAGCTTTTCAATTCGACAGTATTTTTTTTTAGTGTACGTTACGCGATCTGTGATCCGATTTGTTTTGTTGGAGGTACCTCAGTATTCGTCGCATTTAAATTTGAAGAAAATATTCCACACATTTCGCGCACTTTCCGGTAACCGATTTCAATAAAACTTGACAAATAAATGTAGTTCCTCGAACTTTTGAGGTCGGTTCCTTTTTTACAAAAAAAAAGTTATAACAAACTTGAATAATGCCAAAATAAATAAGTATACATTATGGCTTTCGTAAAAAACGATCAACAGTCTTAGCAGCAGCAAATTTATACAAGAAGTCATTAATACAATAAATAAAAAACAATATCCAGTAGGAATATTGTTGGATGTGTCAAAAGCGTACGACAAAGTCCAATTTGATATAGTCATCAATGGATATACTGGTTAGAAAGGTGTATGGGTTAGGTATCCGTGGGGTCGCCCACAAATAGTTTGAGTCGTATTTAAAAAATAGGGAACAAAGTCAAAGATTATTTATTCCATAGGTAAAATATATTTACACTTGAAAACGTCACATTTAAGCTACTGCTCGTTCACTACGCTGACCTCCCTGAGAAGAACAAGCAAGAAACTCTAGGGATTGCTCTTTTCAAATAAACTTAAATGTTATGGAATACACTTTTTGAATCAAATTTGTGTGGATTCTGGAGCCATGTCGTCTTTCCATACATCTTTATCTAACACGTAGTCTTCAATTTTGTAATATGACTTTTCGATCAAAATATTTTTTATGTAGTTTTCAAAACTTAGGAAATGATATACTTAATATATGCTCCGGAATCTTATTGTAAAAACGGATACAATTCTCCATAAAAGAGAGAAATCGTGGTACCATGAGTTTGGACTTAGCTCTAAGGTTAATATTATGGATATCTTCTTTCTTATTGAAATTATGTATATTTTTACGGGCATATAAAATATTTGAGTAAATGTACTGTGATGCCACAGTCATGATACCAGTCTCTTTAAACTTTTCTCTGAGAGAAACCCGAGAGTCTAGACGGTACACAGAACGAATCGTTCGTTTTTGCAATACAAATATGGTTTGAATATCTGCCCCTTTACCCCACATGAGAATCCCGTAGGACATTATACTATGGAAGTAACTAAAGTAAACTAGTCTAGCAGTACTAACATCGGTAAGCTCACGTATTCTGCGGACTGCGTATGCAGCGGCGCTTAATCTTCTGACCAGGGAAAATATAAATATGTGAACATCATTGAAGTTTACTATCTAAGGTCACTCCCAAGAAGACTGCTTAATTAACAAGGTCTAATTTTTCTCCGTTTATTTCTATGCTTGGACTAGTCGATTTTACGTTAGGTAATTCAAATTTAACACATTTTGTCTTTTTGGCACTAAGCAATAAATTGTTAGCATTAAACCAATAAACTAACTTAGAGAGGGTATCTTTAATATGGTCATACTTAATGTCATGTCTGTCTGTTTTAAAAATCAAGGATGTTTCAACAGCAAACAACACTATTTCGCAATGGTCCTTAACAGAGAATGGCAGATCATTAATATAAAACAGAAATAAGTAAGGTCCAAGTATTGAGCCCTGGGGAACACCCATTTTTACCGGAGAACCCAAAGAAGTCACTCCATTTATGTCTACTTTCTGAATTCTACCATTGAGACATGATGAGACAAGTTTCGACGCCTTGCCATTTACACCGTAATGTTCCAGCTTCCTAATACGAGTAATATGATCAACGCAATCAAATGCCTTTGAGAGGTCACAGAAAACACCAATAGCGTTCTGGGACCTTTTCCAAGCATCAAAGATGTGTTTTAGTAACGCTACCCCCGCATCGCTAGTCGATCTACCTCTAGTAAACCCGTATTGTTCACTATGAAAAAAAATATGATTCCTACCGAAATAGGACAGTAACTGAGTTAGCATAACCTCTTCGAATATTTTATTTAAAGCTGGTAAAATTGAAATGGGCCTATAGTTGCCAGGATCAACTTTCCTAATGCTTTTGAATAAGGGAATAACCTTACTATATATCATTAAATCGGGAAAAACGCCTTCGTCAACGCACCTAATGAAAGCTATAGCTAAATGTGGGGAAATTAGATCAATAACTGAGTCTATAACTTTAGTTGATATATGCCCTAGAGATCTTCAGTTTTTTTAACATGTATTGATTTAAAAGCTTTTATGATATCTTGTGGATTAACATGACGGAAATTAAATAAACTGCCACAAACGTTAACATTTTCCTTTAGGAGATCAATAGCAAGTGAAGAGGAGGAATTTGTTGAAGTTCAATATTTTAATCATAGCACAAAAGAAATAGAAAAAGTTCAATCCGATGGCAAAATAAAAACGCATCGATCCCCCAGGGCAGTGTTGTAGGTTGTGTATTATTTCTGATGTACATAAACGAGCTGCCAAAAATTTTAGAAGAGCTTTGTATATTATTCACAGACGATATTTCCATACTTACTTACTTACTATTTTTTTCATTTTAATTGAAATTAAATTAAAAACTTAACACAATCCTAAATAAAACAATAAATTGGATGAACAATCATAGCCTTGAAATAATTTTCTTAAAAACAAAAGTAATGACTTTCCAACCGTACCTAAAAGAACCGCTTACAGTAAATTTTCATCTTAGTGGCGTTACATTAGA